TTAGAAAATATTTATAAATAAAAATTAGTTTAGGGAGACGAAATTAGCCTTCTAATTAGATATGTAATTAAAAATAGACGCATAACTCTAGTGCTCTACACAGTTTATTTTGAATTTTTTTTTAAATAACTATTTAAAAAAAACTATTTTAATAGGGAATTCAAAAAAAATCCCAAAGTGACCATAATTCAACATTAAGGCGCCATATGAAATGGCTGATGGGTGAATGGATGAACCAAGTCGCCATCCCATATGGCGCCTCCCTTATAAAGGGTGCCCTAGAAATTGCAGAGGAGGCGCCATACCATATAGTGCCTCAGTTTGAGCCTTTTTTAAAATTAATATTTTGTATAAAAAATAATGAAAAGAAATAATAAATTATAATATTTATAATATAAAAAAGTGAAAATAGTGTACAACAGATAAAAAAGGAAAATCAATGACCGACTCTATCAAAACGACCACTGGTTCCACATTGGGGAGGATTCGCGCGGCGTCGAGGTCTACCACGAGCTTGTTGAGGTGTATTTCGTCTTTGCGTGTTGACCTGTGGAAGAGGTATTTGTTGAGATGGCCCCGACGTATCATATGAAATTTGAAGCATTTGACCCCAATAGCCGGGGATGCTGCCAACAATGCTTCCGTAACTCAGTTTAATGCCCATGTTTTCGTAGTTGGGATGGGGAGGTTGGGTCGGGTGTGGACGGTATGGTTGTCCGAATTGGTACATCGAATCGGTTTGGAAACGATGCAATGGTTGTTGTAGGGTTTGATAGTCAAAAAGAGGATAAATATTTTGTTGGTAGGAAGATTGTGTGTTCATTCGTGGGGGGCTATAGTTGGCTGGTGTGGGATCGAAAGAGTTATCGGGGCTATAGGTGGATGAGGTAGGGACGAAAGAGTTATCACGACTATAGGAAGAAGTGATGTCGGTTTCGGGAGGCTGGCGGTAGGGGTAAGGCTCTTGTTGTTATGATTGGGTTTGTGGCATGTATGGGTTGCGACTTTGGAAGATTGATTGAGTCGACATAGTTGGATGTTGGGTATAGCATGGTGTTTGATGTTGGGCATTGGGTTGTTGTTGTGTGTTTGAGGAAGATGCACGTTGCCTTGGGTCATAAGTGATAATTACTAAAATAATAAAATTAGGACAAGACATATGATCAAATAAGACAATTGCATGGAATACGAAGTACAATGATAAAATTAATAAAAAACAACACTATTACCCAACTATATTGCTATTAATACAATAGAGATAGTTGTTTTATTATCATATCACTTAGTAACATATCCCTCCCAACACAAAAATTTGTAAAACGATCCTTTCAAACACGAGTTTAGTAACATATTTGTTATGGCTCAAACACCACAATACATGATCAATGCATATTTAAACGGTGAGGTTTTTGAATGTAACTCAGCCGATTTTAATTTTCGAAATACGGACGTTACTAGGTTTTTGATTGACAGAAGATCAAATATTTTACATTTGAAAGCGAGATTAGAAAAGAAATTACAGTATGGTCCAGTTGGCCAAATAATCTACAAGAATCCTGTTTTTTTTTTACGGGCACGAACAATGCAAAAATTTTCAATTAAAGATTCGAGACGATGGAGATGTGCATAACATGTTTCTCAGTCATGAGTATTATGGTTTCTCAGATATTGAGTTATATATTATGTTACAACAACAACAACTGTCTCAACAACTTGATTCTTCTTAAGTTTTTTACGAATCTGATGACGAACAAGCTGAAGTCGATGCCATTGACGAAGAAGAAGAAGTAGTTGAAGTCATTGTTGATGACATGGTAAACAACGAGAAAAACGTAGTACCAGCCAGTCATGTTTATTGCCCACCTCAACACATGACAAGTCTCGACTTAGGTGACGATGAACCGTCAAAATATATTTTTTACAATCCATACATGCCAACAAAATGAGCATTAAAAGAGGGAGACAACTTTCGTAAAAAATAAGATTGTGTCTGAGCTATAAAACAATATCACATGGACTTATCAGCAGATTATAGAGTTGATCGAACAAATCCGGCTCTGTATAAGATCTATTATCGTAATGAGGTGTGACCGTTTCGATTAACAGCATCTTTCCGAAAGAGAAGTGATTCATGGAAGATAGGGGCAATGGGTCTAAAGGACACTTGTATAATCACGAATCCAATGCAGGACTATCACAAAGCTCAGCTCTCAATTGATTTGTAATGAAATTTGTCGGTCATTAGCGACAACCCTTCTTTGAAGGTGAGTACCATAATTTCGCACATGGTTTAAAGATATAATTACACTCCTTCGTACAGTAAATCATGGATAGCTAGGACTAAGGCAGTTGAAACGGTGTTCGAAAATTGGGAGGAGTCTTACAAAGAACTTCCATAATACTTGGTGGCACTTAAACAATATTCTCCAGGGACTGTTGGCATCTTGGAGATATTGTCGGCGTATACACCAGACGGGACTTGCGTTAGTGGAAATGACATTTTTCACAGAATCTTCTGGGCGTTTGAACCATGTACCAAAGACTTTGCTTACTGTAAACCTATTATTCAAGTTGATGACACATGGTTGTACGAGAAATATAAGGGCACGCTACTCATGGTTGTGGCACAGGATGGGAACAACAACATTTTTCCAATAGCCTTCGCTCTAGTTGAAGGGGAGACTACTGGGAGTTGGAGTTTTTTCCTAAAAATTATCCGGTTATACGTTTCTCCCCAGCCTAACTTATATTGGATCTCTGATAGACACCCATCAATTGAGAGTGCATACAAGAATCTTGATAACGGTTGGCAGGATCCTCCCACAAACCATGTGTATTGCATAAGACACATCGCCAAAAATTTCATGTGGGAAATCAAAGACAAAACGCTCAGGAAGAAGGTTGTGAATGCATGGTATGCACTAATAAAGCCCACATTCAAACACTACCGTGACGAGATTAGACTGACAAACGCAGATGCATTAAGATGGATTAATAATATTCATAAAGAGAAATGGACAAGGGCATACGACAATGGGGTGCGATGGGGCCACATGACAACTAACCTCGTTGAATCAATGAATTCTGTTTTCAAGGGAATCCGAAACCTACCGATAACTGCCTTGGTAATGGCAACATATTTTAGGCTCGGGGCACTCTTTGATATCAGACGTACAAAGTGGGGTTCAGTCTTACAATCTGGGCAGTTGTACAGGAATAGTTCAATGAAATTCATAAAAGACGAAGCTGCCAAAGCCAACACACATGTGGTCATAATCTTTGACCGTAATAAAGGTTGGTTCAGTGTTACAGAGTCAATTAATCACAATGAAGGGAAACCTAGGGGATGTTACCGAGTAGAACTGGATAGGAGTTGGTGTGATTGTATAAAGTTCAAGGCATTTTGTATGCATTGCTCCCATGTTATAGCCGCATGTTCGAAGGCTCGCCAGAACCCAACCAACTATCTTTCTGTTGTTGACCAAGTCATAACTCTATGCAATGTCTACGGCAGTAGCTTTCAGGTGGTGGCAAAGGAGGACTATTGGCCTCCATACAAAGGCGAACTTGTCTAGCATAATGATTTGATGCGAAGAAAGAAAAAATGTTGCCCTAATAGCACATGTATTCGAACAGAGATGGATACAACAAACAAAATAGTCAGATTATGTACTTTGTGCCAACAACCAGGACACAATCATACAAAATATCCCAATGTATGATCGAGCACAAGATCATAGTTTCTAATATAACCATGTCTCTTTAAATCAACAACAAATTTCATTCCATTGATAACATACCTAAGCGATTACAATTAACAACAACATAAATTAAACAAACATAACTTAACATCAAAATAACAATCCGAAAATAACAAAAACATAACTTAATATCAAAATAACAATCCGAAAATAACAACAACAAACCCACATAAAACAACTCAATGCATTAACTTGTCTAGGATATTACAACCATCAAGGTAATCTTCTTTGGTGTTAACATCATCATAAGGACACAAACATCATTTTCTACTTTTCTCCAATCACGACTAATTCCGTTTCTCCCTGACTCCTCAACTAGCCTCTCAATTTTCATGATCTTTTCACCTACAACAATATCTCCTTCTAGCCAACGGTTCAGTTCCCTATGCAAATGCTCCAAAGTCTGCGTGTTCCACAGTAGGACCTTCATCGAAGGCTTTGTTGCTGAAAAATAAACTAGGGCATTTCTTTTCATTCAAGGAAATGTTGGAAACAGTTCCTTTAGTGATGATGACGATGAACGTTGATTTAAAAATGCAGACGTTCTGGGCTGATTTGAAAATTATGAAGTGTTGAGGCTATTGGTGATAATTGTTGTGAAATAACAGATGAGTGTGCAGTCTTATTTATAGAAAAATGAAATAGTACGGCCCCTATATGATATGACGTAACTATCCCTAAAAACACAAAACAAATGATTAAAAAAAAATGCATTGTATTGAGGCGCCATAACATATGGCGCCTCCTCTGAAAATTCGGTATAGGGCAAAAGGGTGGCGTCATACCATATGACGACTTGGTTTTAGGGCATAAGGGAGACGCCATATGGGATGACGACTTGGTTCATCCTTTCATCCATCAACCATTTTATATAGCACCTCAATGTTGAATTATGACCACTTTGAGAATTTTTTTGAATTCCCTGTTAAAATGATATTTTTTTTGAAAAAAATAGTTATTTAAAAAAAAATCGTTTATTTTAAGCATGATAGATTAAAATAAAAAAAAAAAAAAAAGAAAAAAACCAAAACCATAATTAAGTAAAAGAAAAACAAAAAAAGTTGAAGGGTAAGTTAGTCATTTGAAAATTGAAGACGACGTAGTTTGGTCTGCAAAGCGAAACAAATTCAAACGGCAGTCTCTTCCAAAACTCTCTCTCTTCAACTGTTTTCTCTTTCGAGTCACTCTTCTTCTTCTTCTTCTTCTTCAATCCAAAGTTTTCAACAGTGATAAAGCAAAATGCCGCATCCCGCGGATTTGCAGAACAATTCCGAGTTCGGTGACTCAGATTCATCCTCCACCGCTGTTGCTTCAGCATGTAATCCCAATTTGAATCGTGACCTCTTCAACGAGCTCATGCAAATGGTCCCTCTCGTTCAATCCATCCTCATAGTAAGTCATATTCAACTCTACTTTCTTCCAATTTCAGAATCAAAATTAAATTTGACTATGTTTGACTCTAATTTCCCATTTTAGGATCGTAAACCGACTCGTTCGTTTCCTCATCGTAGTTCCATCATCTATACCAAGGCACCGCCAAAGCAAAAAAAGGTACATTAATACAAGAGTACCTTTTTACCCCTTTCTTTATTTTAGGGTTTTGTTTTCAGTTTTTCGCCTTTAAAAATTTGCATTCGAAGTAGGTTTGTATTGATTTGTGTACTTTGATATATATGATTGTTATTTTTTTTGATATTGTGATTGTGTTAATGAATGGTAGCCTAAAAGGAGGTTAAGCGTGAAAAATTGAAGAACTGATTCATTTCCTTTTTAAGAATGAATGAATACTGTTGAATATTTTCTATTGCTCCATAAATGTGGGTTACATATTCATCTAGAATGATGTATTAATAGGTGGTTAGTTAGTGGTGACAGTTACCTTTGGGAAAATCTGTGTAGATGAGTTGCTAAATGATAGTTACACCCACATTGTCGCTAGCCGCTTAATTGCGGCATATGAGTTGCGTTCTTTGTAACCTCCAACCCCTTCACTGTGTTTGAGGGTGAAAGGATGGATTGAGTCTCACTTTGTCTAGAGATATGATTTGTGTAATGTTTATAAAGTTTGGGTAGTCCCTGACTTGTGATATGGGCATTGAATATGATATAGATTTTCTATTTGTGTCTTGTGAAAGATATCCCACATTGTTGACTATCATGTGATTTACTATTATATCCTTTTACATATTTTATCACTTGATTACAAACTTTGTTTGAATTTTAGCTTTCTTATATTTTTAGTGAAACCATTCGGTACCCCTTTTATGTTTGATCCATTTGAAATGGCCACGAGATTAATCCCCAATTCTTCATTTGGCAATGAAAGTATAACTATTATGTTATGGAGCCTATCTATACGTTCTTCTTATTCAAGATTCAGACTTTGCCCTCGGTGGTTAAATGAAGACGTGGCTCCACCAATATTTCAAGAGCTTAGTTCTCTCCCTCCCAATTAACCACATGATTCGAGACAACTCACTATATCAATCCTTTGGAATGTCTTAAAAACTGGACTGGACTAGCTGATTCAACCCGTTTGACCGGGAAGCAAAGCTGAATCCGGTTCGATCAGCCTTGTAAAACTGCTACTGGTGGCTAAAACAGTGTAAAACCGGATTGAACTGTCTTAAACCGTTTTAACCAAAAAACCGAAGTTGGTTTTGTGGAACAGCCTGGTCCAAAGAAATGCATGCAATTGGCCAATTTTTTTGTTTTTTTCTTATTTAAAAAAAAAATTAATTTGCATCAAAAAGCAACCTTTGTTTGTTTGTTTGTTCTAAAGGCAGGCAAGCTTTTAGGTTCCATTACATCGTTATAGTTTTTTCGTTTCAACCACACTCCATCATCATGATGCCGTCCCTTTCAAATATAGACACGTCGTCCATTCTCTTGTGATATTATGTGTACTATTGATCTTGTTGTATTTAGTTTGTAATGAATTTTTAAAATATTTACTTTATTAAGATTTGAACCTATAATTGTGTATGACTTAACTATGAAGTTAAGCTTCATATTAATAATTTATTTAATAAAAGGTTGGACCGTATATTTAACCGGACGAGCCAATTGAAACTTAAACCGGAGGTCTCGGTGTCTCCCGGGTTCGACCTTCGGTCCGGTTTTTAAAACATTGCCTTTTCCTATTTATTGAACATAACTTACACATATAATTAATTCATTAATAAAACATAACTGACAGAGAGATGAAACATAACTGCCCTAAAATAACTGTTACATAATAGAAACTGCCACATTCAGTTTCAGTTCCTAGTAATTCTTATCAGGAGGTCTAACGGCATATTGGTTTGATCTTAGACTCTGGAAATGTAAGATTTTGTTATTCTTGGTTTTTACTCAATATTCATGGTTTCTCGTATGACTCTAGAATATGGTAATATGATTTTGTTGTTCTTAGTTTCTTTAAATAACATAGTACAAATGTTGAAATATTATTTTCCCAATGAGACTATATTGCTACCCATACTCATTATTAGTGTTATATTATTTTTGTTGATCCTGTTCATGTAGCAATCTATACCTGCCACAAAGACAAGGGACCATGGAGCTAAAGAACAAAACTCTGATGCTGAAAGCTTTTCTATGTTTTCTGGAAGAGCTTTTACATCAGAGAAGGACATAGAAGAGTTGGCTACCTTGAAGGAACAAATGGGGGACCTTCAGTTGAAATTAAAGGAGAAAGAGGAACTGGAAGAAAACTTGAGAGAACAAATGAATGCTGTTAATGCAAAACTGGATGAAATGAAACGCCAGGTTTCAGAAAAGGACGGTTCCCTAAAGTATAGTCAACAACAACTCTCTGATGCTAAGGTACTGTTTTAATTATGGTTTTCTATTATTAAAGTCCCGATTCTATAATTCTCAGTTCTAGGTATAGATCTTATGCGTTTATTAACCGGCCCCGTTTTCCATAGATTAAACTTGCAGATAAGCAAGCTGCCCTTGAAAAGATACATTGGGAAACGATGACATCCAACAAGAAAGTGGAGAAACTTCAAGAAGAGCTGGACTCCGTGCAAGTAGACATTTCGACATTCACGTTGCTGCTCGAAAGCTTATCAAATACTGACACTGCTATGTACACGGATGATTATGACACAAAGCCTTATGTTTTCAACCACGTACCTGAAATTGTGAGTTTGTTCACATTTTCCAATCAATATACACATGTATATATCTGCACACATTGCTGTATATGATGACAATTTCAACACAAAACTAGAATTATGCAGAAATACTAATCCTTGGATGTTGACCTCTTGAGTTATACATCTCTGGTTTGACAGGATGATTTGGATGAGATGGAATGGCAGAAAATAGAAGAAGCAAGAAAAGCTTACATTGCTGCAGTTGCTTTTAGCAAAGAAAAGCAAGACGAAGAATCTATTGCTGCCGCTGCTAATGCTAGGTTACGACTTCAATCACTACTTTTCAAATCCAAAAATTTCAACACGTAATTTAACTAGTTTAATTTTACACGCCGGGCCCTTTAGTCACAACTCACATATAGTAAAGCAATTATCTAATTTGGATGGAAGATACTTTTTAGTCTACACGCGCTTGTCTGTGAACAAGAGTATATGTGAACAAGAGTATAAGTCAAAGAACTTGTTCAACGAGGTTTAAATGCGAGTCCCAGAATTGTGGCATTCAGCAAGTTTTCTTTCGTGACTGATTCTAAGTTGGGGACTGCTGCTAGTATTGTTCAAATCAGAAAACTGTTACTGTCATGACTCTGATACCTCAGAATATGTTGGCTTCCTATGTCTTCTTGTTTCATACTTTCCCTATTTAGCCCATATCTTTGTTTCCACAAGCTAGAATCTTGTGCTATTTTATCATCTGAATTGTTAATACCTGCACTCAAATATTTGAATTTGTTCGTGTTTGTTTGTTATTTTGAGATGTATAAATGCAATATTAACTCACACTTAAAATCTAATATTGTTTGTTGATTTCCTTCTAGTGTCATACGAAAAATAAAATTTCATTAAAACAACAAAGTTTGTTGATTTCAAGCAAAAATAAACTACACTTAAAAACTAATATTTATGGTACCTTCAAGTATGAATATGATTAAAGGTGAGAGAAAGGCTTAATCTATAATATATAACTATATACAAATAACTATATATAAAGATAAAATTTGATTTTTGTGTAGATTATTTTTATTCCAATTATATTTTTTTTAGTATTTTTTCAATTTCAACTTCTCTTTTTTAATCAGCATATGGTGGTAAATATATCTCTTTCATTCTATTATTTTTTATTATTTTATAAGTAATTTAAATTAAAATAAAAAACAAATAGACAAAATATATTTTATATTTTGACCCGTTTGAACATTAATAAAAGTCGGACAGACCCTAATATTGATAAAATTAATTTTTTCCATTGATTTATTTTTTTTATCAAAATAAATTTAATCAGAGAAATCGATTCGAACAAATCTAATGACTACTCATACATAACTAATTCTTTTTTTAATTGCTGTTTATTTAAAAATATTTTTTAATTTATTTAAAAATATTTTTTAATTCAGAAGTCGGTCCTTTTCATGTTTTAGTTTAGAAAACGAGTTAGTTTTTTTGATTTATTATTATTTTTGATCTTAATATAATTCATTTTCTCTATAATTTCACTTTGTATTAACCTCCTAAAAAAATATAAAAAATAAGAAAAATGCTAAGGCGTGTTACCCTTTTTAAGGACTTCAAAAGATAAGAGAAAAAAAAATACAATTTGTTATGGACGTGAGCATTTGAAGAATGAATGTTCAAACTTGAAAAAACACCAAGAAAATGCCTATATGAAGCCAAAGAGAAGTGGAAAAGATAGAATGGCCTATAATGTTTGGGATGAAGATGGAGCTAATGGGACTTCTTCAAGCAGGTAGATAATCTAAAATCACTAATATCATTGACCGTGAATATCTACAATCACACTCAAGCTAAAAGGATGAGAAAATGAGAAGAACTAAAATCAAACGTTTAGAAATTAAAAAAAAACCCTACTTTTAAATCATCTCCAACATAAAATTATATTTTCTTGATTTATTTCTGTCATATGGAGATTTTTGAAAAAAATTCTGTAAAAAAAATAATTAAATTCTAGATGCTCTTATTTTGACCCACTTTTAATTCAATAAAATGACATGATTGACATTTTTTAAAATTATATAAATATCTGTTTAACTTTTTCATTAATTACATTTTTATTTTTAAATACCACGTTGGATTTGTATTTTATTTTTTGAAATTATTTTTAACTATTAAAATTTTAAAGAAACAACAACAAATAAAATTTTGCTTTTGCCAAATTCGACCACAAAACCATATGGTACAAAACACACCCTTCCGGCTATTTTTCTTTGGTGATATATATTTCCTAACATTCATAGTAAATTGTCTATTGAGTTAACAATAGCTCCAAATATAACATTAACATGATGACTCTTTCTGCTTCACCACAGCTAGTAGAAAGAACAAAGAAATGCTCTTAGATTTTTTAAGCAGCTTCAAGGAGAATTTAGAATAAGACATGCTATTGGAAATGTTAATGAAGATGATGCAAATGAAGTTGGAGTTTCCTGAACAACGCAACAACACAAACTATTAGGAATAACTTTGTTATATTATTTTCCGTTTTTTGCTGCAACTGTTTTTACTATTTTTCTGCATGTAGTTTGTTTTGTTAATTGCTTGATACACAAGCAACAAGTTGTATATATAGTAGATCTTGGTTGTATCTTTTCAGTTTGAGTTCATAATGAAGTATATTATATATTTATTATATATATATATGGTAGGCAAAATATTCTTTTTACTCTCTTAACTTTATCTCGGAGTTTATTTTGATCTCTTAATTTTAAAGTGTCAAAATAGTTCCTCATATCTTCAAACAACATCATTTAGGTTATTTCCGTCTAATTCTCACAAACAGCGTCTCTTTCTGCAGACTTGACATCTGTTCATACATTAAGCCACATTGCACTTGATTATTTGTCTTACAAATGAGATATATATTAACAAATTCATTACTTCACTCATCATCTTCTCTTATCATCATCTTCATTCAACTCTTCTTCTCAAACATCAATTTTCTTCAGATGAATGTGCAATCATATTAATCACCTAAAGCATTAATAACGTAAAAAGAACATGAAAAAACATTATAATTAAATATGAGCACACTATTTTCTGCATTGCATTTTAGATTTAAATTCTCCATAAATATCTATTTTTCTCAGCAAGATATTACCTTTTGTTGGCAGGGAATTTCAAGTACCACTGAGCATAAACTCCATTCTCTTGTCGGCAAACACAATTGTCTTAGTGTTGATAAGAAACCATTTATTTATTTGAAGCGCTTTCTCCCCAAATGAGTCTTCATTTCTCTGTAATTTATTGAAGTAATAAGGATTAATCATGATTTTGTGACATTTTTATTTATGACTATCTTTAGAGTGTTTTCAATAAAAAAAAATTGTTCAACAAATTATCATGTCCAACTATTGTCTTATACCTATTTTATATCCGTTCTTTTTACGTTTTTACATTTTTGATGCTTTAGGTGATTAACATGATTGCACATTCATCTGAATTTGAGAATATTGACGTTCGAGAAGAAGAACTGAATGAAGATGATGATGATAAAAGAAGATGATGAGTGAAGGAATGAATTTGTTAATATATATTTGATTTGTTAAACAAATAAACAAATGTAAAGTGACCTAGTGGTGCAATATCTTTCCAAGCAACCCAATAGTAATGGGTTCAATACTTGCAGGAACTAGGGGCCTCCAAATAGGGGTATTGTACATCTCGCCTATGTGCATCAACAAATTTCTTCATAGCTTGTTGTGCCTTGGTCAATTTTCTGCCTTGGTCAATTTTCTACGCAGAGCGATAAGCATAGTCTCACGATTAGCCAACATTTCAATATTGGAGGTGCCTGTCAAATATTGAGGAATGGTGGGTGGTGCTTTCCCAAAAGTTATCTCAAAGGGAGATTTTCATGTGCCTGAGTGTTGAGACGTGTTGTAAGACCACTCAGCCCACATGAGAAACTTGCCCCAAGTTGCCGGTTTTGAGTGCACAAACGCACAGAGATACTGCTCAATGACCCTATTTGCCACTTCTGTCTGGCCATCAGTCTGAGGGTGGTAGGACGAACTCATCCGTAACTTAGTGTCGCTGAGTTTGAACAACTCCTGCCAGAAACAACTCACAAATAATGGATCACAGTCTGAAACCAAGCTGCGGGGCATGTCGTGGATCTTGCCAACAATGTTCATAAAGAGTAAAGCAACCTTGTAAGCAGTATAGTGAGGTTGCAACATACCAAGATGAATCCCTTTGGAAAAGCGATCAACGACCACTAGGATTGTGGTGTTCCCCTGGTAAGGAGGTAAACCCATGATAAAGTCAAGAGATAAGTCTTCCCAAAGCGCATGAGGAATTGGCAATGGACAAAGCAATCCAGCAGCTTTCTTCGTTTCATATTTAGAATGTTGGCAGTCCAAACAAGCGAGAACAAACTTATGGACATCATCACACATCCCGGCCCATGTGAAATTTGAGCTTAAGCGTGCCAAAGTCTTGGTGACACCTATATGGCCTCCGGTGGGTGTTTTGTGGAATTCCTCCAACAGAACCGATATGAAGGAAGTGGTTGCGGCAACCAAATGCGATCTTTGTGATAGATAAGACCCTGAACAATTTTGAAATCCTGTGCGCCCTCACTGTTATTGTTAATGTCTTGCAGTTTGGAGAGAAATTCATGTTGTTGGGAGAGTTCATGCTTTAATGTTTTCAGGAAGGAGAAACTGGGAACTGTCAACATGTAAAACTCGGAGGACTCATTTTCTGGTATGCGAGAAAGAGCATCTGCAACCACATTCGTTTTGTCGGAATGATATTGAATCGTGTAATCATAACCAATCAACTGTGACAGATACAACTGCTGTTCTGGTGTTTGTACAACTTGTGACATCAACTCCTTTAAGCTGCGATGATCTGTCAGAATCACAAAGGAATGACCCAACAAATATTATCCCCATTTCTTCACTGCTGCTGTGATGGCGAAGAGTTCTCTAACATAGGTCGACGCATTTAACAACTTGCGACAAAATGGTTTGCTAAAAAAAGAAATTGGATGGTTCTGTTGAGATAACACGGTACCTATGCCGACACCGGAGGCATCCGTTTCTACCATGAATGGTAAAGTAAAATTAGGGAGAATCAAAACTGGTGCGGTGCTTACTGCGGTTTTGAGGGTATCAAAAGCTAACTGTGCACCAGGATTCCAGCCAAATTGATCCTTTTTTAGGAGTTGAGTCAATGGAACTGCAATTGTTGCATATCCCTTGATGAATCATCGGTAGAAACCTGTCAAGCCTAAGAAACCACGCAGAGCTTTGAGATTACTCGGAACTGGCCACTGCTGAATCGTAAGA